AAGTGGACTTATTTCTAAGGTTTTCCAGTTATGAGAGATTGGGAATACTAGAAAAGTGGCCGCTTGATTTCTTTGGTATTAGAAAGAATAACAGATATGAAGATTGGATAGTTCATATTCTGGTATTGCGGGGGGGGAGAAGTCCGACCACACCTCCCTGCGGTCCCCCCTGGACCCTTAGACCAAATTTTGGTTCGTTTCCAAGGTGACTAACGTGGCAACGGCACCCATTTTCCAAATTGACATGGACCCAGAGCAGCAGCTTTACACACCCAAGATAATGGACATTGCTGCTGCTGTGATAGAGATGTATGGAAACATCTGAGGCTCTTCATTGGACACCACAACAACAACATATTATGGTTTTGAGGTGGTGTAAATATACTGGTAATAACCTTTGTTGAGAAATAATACTCGTCGAGTAGGTATTCACTTGATCTGATCCTGAATATTTCGACAAGAAAGTATAACAAAATATTTAATTTTATATATTCCTTTATGAAAACTGCTTTATTTCAGCACACAAAACGCGATATCCCGGCTAGGGATAATTGCATTGATTTACATTTTTTTTAAACAGAAACAGTTATAAGCATATTATACAAGAAAAAGTAATCAAAAATAAAAATAGAAACAATAATATATATTAAAAACTGTACCTTTCAGGTTTGAAAGATAATCACAAATATATTTACAAAAATAGTTAAACCTATGATAATTCTCTCTGCTATTTACAAATTGCTATAGATCTACAACATTACACATTGTCTGTTGTCTAGTGGTGAAGAAGAGTGGGCATTCCAGCAGTATATAAAAACTGCTTTGAGAAGTCATTTAGTCATGAAACTCTAGGTAAAGGTAATACAGTAGAACATCTATCTGAAGAAAAACTACAAGGTATGTCCCATAAGTTCCGGACTGGGTCCATAAAAAAAGGGAAGATATTTAAAAATATATATATTAAAACTTTTCAAAGTAATCCCCCCTTGCTTCAACGCACCAGCGCCATCGTTTCTCCCAATTGTCGAAAGAGTTTTTATAGGCCTCTTTTGGAATGCTCTTCAATGCCAACAGCGATTTTTCTATTATGTCATCCCTGGTGTCCAAAATGTCTTCCTTTTAGAACTGCTTTAAATTTGGGGAACAGGAAAAAATCATTTGGTGCGATGTCTGGGGAATAGGGTGGTTGAGGTAGGATTTGTGTCCCGTTTTTTCGCCAAAACACTCGTCACCAAGTGCGCTGTGTGAGGGCGGGCATTGTCATGGTGTGGGATCCAGTCAACATTAGTCCATTTTTCTGGCTTTTTTTTTTCGAATCGCTTCCCTTAGACGGCGAAGAATGCCCAAATACATTTCCTTAATAACTGTTTGGCCTGCAGAAAGATATTCGTGATGAACAATGCCCTTGTTATCCAAAAAAGCGACCAGCAACACCTTGTTTCTGGATTTCAATATCCTGAATCTTTTGGGTCTAGGCTCACCCTGACCTCTCCACTCGGCAGATTGACGCTTGGTTTCATATGGTGCATTAGACTTTGGGTTTTTAATAACACATAGATTTCAGGAAGAACTAAATTTACAAGCTTAATGGATTTACCTTCAAGAGTGAGATTGTTGCACCAGGTTGCGGCTTGGCAGACTCTTCAACCTTGATTCTCTCTTGTGCCGGGTCTTGCATCTTACCAGAGCGTGTTTCAACCATCCTACAAATTTATATAAGGGAATAATGAGATAACTCTACTTTAAGTAGCCTCCAGAAATATTCATTTATTTCTCACATCAAAGAGAGCAGTGAAGTCACACAGTGTATCAAAATACAAATGGTGATACTATCTCTATATATATAAAAGTCAATGTCTGTCTGTTTCGCGAAAAACTCAAAAACTACAGAACCAATTGGTACCAAATTTTGCATGTCGCTTTTTATAAACCTGAGAAAATTTTTCGGCTACATTTTGATTAGTATTTTTGGCTATTTCTTTTTTTCATTTGAAGAACTTTTTTTTTACGCGGAGTAATCCGGAATGGAATGAATACCCAAATATGGCCATTTTTTATAAGCATCGGTGGTTCAGTGGTAGAATGCTCGCCTGCCACGCGGGCGGCCCGGGTTCGATTCCCGGCCGATGCATTTTTTAAAACTCATTTATCTATATTAATAAAATGGAAATTTCATAAGTGGACATCACTAAAAACTTTCGTTACAATGCATCAATTTCGACCGAATTTTCAACATTTATGTAAAACGAGATGGAGCAGGTTTTTCTTAACATCAAAATATTTTTCCTAACTTTAACAGGCGTAACTTCGCTGTTATCGATTAAATACAAAAAAAAATCAACAGAGTTAAATTTATTTATATATAAATACCAAAAAAAATTCAGCAATTCATTCAACTCAATCTAAAAAAATATTCAAAACAAGCAATTTTAAGATAACACCATATGTAAAACAGTCGGCCAAGAAAACAACAACGATATTACATCTTTCTCACATATTCGCACACAATCTTGATTAATAATTAAAACTAATCTTTAACATTGTTTATTATACTTCATAATATATAATATTCGTTAGGCAAACTTTCACTCGGATAAAACCCGGGCGAAGCCGGGTACACATTCACTAGTATTATATATAATATAAATATATATTGTTATATCAACTATATTAATTAAATCAAATACCTAAACACTAATATAATAAAATTTTTGCCATCACACACACTTTTTTCCTGTAGTTTATGTGTTACTTCTGTATTGCTATTCTATGGCACTTCTAATATTTATTATTGATGTTCTTTCAGTATGAAGGAAATTGCAATCGGGGGAATTCTCGGGCGAAGCCGGGTCATACGTCTAGTAATACATATATTCTGTTTGATAAAATAAATGAATACAAAATTTAAAAATATATCAAAAATAATATTACACAAATTAAAATATAATAGGTTTATTAGCCATGATGCAACATTATAAAACTTTTAAATTTTATTTATATATCTTTCATCAAAGTGTTATTCCATGTTACACAGTTCTTTAGTAACGGCTACACGAGCTTCGATGTGATTTAGTCTGGAAGCTTTCAGGCCAATCTATACGTTGAATCTCTTCACTTGCCCAGACTTCTACGTGGTCAGGCACTCAATAGTCAGAAAATTTCTCCATTGCCACCAGGTTTTAACAATTGAACCATATTTCTTAAATGCCCTGTAGGAATATATTAACCATTTATTACAAGATTTGTGGACAGACGGACACGAAAGCAAGTAAAAGATAATAACACGCCATCTATATATAATATATATTTTTATAAAAATGGTAAGTAGATTTTTAAAAATTCACTAGTATATTAGAAGTTAACATCTTTATTTGAAACATTAAAATATTTAAAACATTCGTTTTTCAATTCTTCTTCGGCTTTAGGTTCTCCGAGGTCTTTTTGAATGGAGAGCTTGTAAGTCGTTGTCTCTTCTTCTCTTCTCCGGACGTCCCAGTCGTTCTTTAATGTTTGGTTCATCTGGAACGCAGATCACCATCGGTTGTCCATCTAGAGTTTCTCCATTGTAGCGTCTCATAGCCTGGAGTCCGGCGTCTCTACTTGCGAATACTACATCTGCCATGCCGAGGGATCTTCCAGATTCATTGTAGTGGATGGAATGGGTGAGGATCGTACCGTAGACGGAGAACAGCTCGTAGATGTCTTGGGCGGTGACATTGACCTGGAGGTTGGTGATGATCAACTTTATGGAATTTTCAGTACTCTGATTACTTTGATGAGATCGGAAATGCTCCCTAATATTTTGAGATACTGAGACCCTATTAGCTTCGACACCGGTATTGTGCTGAGGTTCCCTGTTGGAATCGGCAATGTATCGAGGGAAGGGGCCCTTGTTATTGGGATTTCTCCTGAAACCTTTGTTGTTGTGAAAGCCCATGACTCGGCCTTTATTGTGTTGGTCATTCCTATAAAATCCCTCATTGTTCTGAAAGACCCTGACAGGGGCTCTATTGTTTTGTAAATTCTTGTAAGAATCCTGGTTGCTCTGAAAGTCCCTGACAGCAGCTCTGTTGTTTTGAAAAGTTATGTAAAAACCCTCATTTCTCTGAAAGTCCCTGACAGCAGCTCTGTTGTTTTGGAAATTCCTGTAAGAACCTTCGTTTTTCTGAAAGCCTCTAACAGGAGCTCTGTTGTTTTGAAAATTCCTATAAAAATCCTTATTGCTTTGAAAGGCCCTGACAGGAGCTCTGTTGTATTGACCATTCCTGTGCGAGCCGCCATTGTTTCTTGGAATTCTGTCAGAATCTATTCTATTAGGTCCCTTTCTAATGGCTGTTTTATTGTTTTGAGGTTTTCTGGAGAATTTTTTATTGGACTTCTGAGTAAATACCTTAGTATTTTTTCTTTCAAAAGGCTTTGATGATTTAAGTAAATTTTCTTTTGCTTCTAAGGCTTTTTCCATCATGACGATTTCATCCAGGGACATGTCAAGCTTATTCATGGTAGGTTTCTCCATTTTAACGATTTATTATTTTCAATATTATTGTGTAATATATTTCAGAAGAGTGAAAGTAGAGAGATTCAAAGGTCTAGAAAATATATATTAAATAATGAATATTCAATGATGAAAAATATATATTAAATAATGAATATAACTAAATATATTCAAATATTCTGTGATAAATAAATTTATTTTTCAGAGTTATATATGAATAATTAAATTAGCATGAATATTTAAAATATATATGCAATTTTTATATTTTTTAAATTTTATTTTATTAATACAGAGAAGCACGAAGTCAATCAGAATATTGTGCTATATTAGAATTATTTACACATATATATATATAGAATGACATTTGGAAATTATTCCGCATGTGTTTCTTTTAAACGAAAAATCGCAATATATTTTAAGGAGAAATAACGTTTATTTCTAACCTTAGGGATGAAGTATGAAAGGATGAATTGTGAAGAGTAATGATGAACGGAAAAATAAAAGTGTCCAAGGGTGGTAATCGAACCCACAGTGTTCCGCTTACCGGGCAGATGCCATGTCCACTAGGCTACCCTGGAAATATTTTTTTCGTTCGTAAATATTATATAAAGTAATTTATAATACAATATATTTCGGCTTATAAATAAGGGGCATATATATATATGTCATAATTTGCCAAGAGGTATAATTTCTTTTCTCCAAAATAAGTATGTTAAACTGTAAACGTAAATTCATCCATCTATAAATACACTGTAAAAAAACGTGAGAGCCAGCGCGCGCGGGCGAATGCTACGGCACGCCGTGTGCGCGCGCTCACTTGTGTGGAACAATTTCTTTTCGAAGCTTACATGCACAACGGCTGCGTCCTTCCATTGGGAATTTCAACAATGGTATTTTAACTGAAATTTTTTGCAAGTAAAAATTAAAATATCCGAATGAAATTTGACACAGTAGTAGATAAAAGGATATAGTTTTTATTTATTCAATGTAGTTTCCATTATTAGCTACAACAGTCTCGAAGCGAGTGCGGAATGAAGCACAGGCCTTGGCGACGATGACCTTGTCCATTTGGGTCATCACCGTGTGAACTGCTTTCTTGACAGACTGGATGGTGGTATGAGGAGCTTTGTTGACATCTCTCTCAACAACGCCCCATACATAGTAGTCGAGGGGATTGCAATCTGGAGAATTAGGGGGCCAAATATCAGGACCCCAGTGACTAGGGACGTTAGGTGTCAGCCACGATTGTGTCTTTTTTGCCTTATGAGCTGGAGCTGAGTCCTGTTGGAAGACATACTTCCTTCCTGCGGCCACCATGTCCATCCAAGGCTTCACAACGGTCTCCAGAACATTGATGTAGGTGTCAGCGTTCATCCTAAGGCCCTTCTCAAAGAAATGGGGAGGCATGACATCACCTTCACTGCTGATAACGCCAAGGACCATTACGGAGGCAGGAAATTTCGTGTGCATCACGACAGGTATCTCTGAGGGGTCTTTACAGATCCAGCGATCATTCCTGGGATTTACCTTTTGGTCCACGTCAAAGTTCTTTTCGTCAAAGAAGAACCTTAGCATACCAAAAGAGTCGTGTTTCAGGTTGTTGTGGAGGGCAGCAGCCTTTCCTTTTCTGTTATTCTTCATATTCTCAGTTAGCAAACTGACCTTTCCGAAGGGCATAAGACTTGAGACCAAGGTCCTCATGGATAGTTCTGACAATTGTCATAGAGCCAACGTCCATTTCCTTGGCTATGGCCCTCATGCTCTTCCCAGGGTTTCCATTAATCTTCTCCTTGACATTTTTGACAAATTCTTCGCCTCTTACCCTGTACGATCGACGCGAGTGCTTTTTCCTTGTAGCTATCCCCTCTTTGTTACTGTCGGCCTCATCAAACTGCTTCTTGACACGATAAATAGTGGTTTTGGGCAACTTAAGAAAATCCACTATCTCTTTGGGGCTCCTTCCGGCGCGCAGAGCAACGATGATGGCAGCTCGATTTTCAAATTCTCGGTTAGTCTTCATCACTACACTGCGCACACATGTACTGTTGCATTTTACATGAATATGGCTACGTAATGAAAAAAAAAACAAGTTTTTAATATCAAGTAGTTTTTGTTTTATGGACTGTCAAAGTTAGTCCCAATTTACCTGGTACACCCTGTATATGTATCGTTAATTATCTACACGATTAATTAGTAGTAATTTATAAATCTGTGTACAAATAGCTCTAAACTTGCCAAAGTTCATAAGATTGAGTATATACACAAAGATGATTTGGCATTATAAAATGAAAGGATTCAAAAGCACGAATGTTTCTTTTATACATAATACAAACTTCTGCCCTTACTGCGATGAAATTATATATTGGGAGGGCTTTTTCATCGCAGTAAGGACAGTAGAAGTTTGTATTATGTATAAAAGAAACATTCGTTCTTTTAAATCCTTTCATTTTATATGTATAGATGGCGTGTTATTGCTTTGTGTTAATTTGGCATTATGTCAAGGTAAGCAAGTACAATTTGGTTATTCAGAGGGCGAGCCAACAAAAGATGCTCTGGTGTTTCAACATCTAGACAGCATTCGCATGTTGGATCATTTATAACTCTCAAGTCGAAGAGAAAACTTAAAAAGGGTCCTTTGCCTGTGAAGAACAAAGTAGTGTATTTATCAGGAGTAAAGAAAATTAGTAAATCTTTCGGAAAAAAATTCTTGAACGTTGCAATAGTTTGAGAAAGATAAAATCTAAATTTTGTATTGATATATAATTTATTCAATTCATTTGAAAGGGGCTTATTTAGTGTTCGGTCTGTCAGAGAATTCTTCATATTGTATCTAATTAGTGATAATTCAAGGTAGTCGGTCAGCATAGGGGTTTTCGCTAGAATATGGGTAATGTAAGAAGATTTGTAAGCATGAATGCACCTAATTAAAATTTGGTACTGTATAGAATTTAACTTTGAACGTTTTGCTGTATTGATAAAAGGGAACTAGATATTTGATGCATAGCTTAACATAGGACGTATCACCGCCTTGTATAAAATCAATCTGTGCCTTGAATCAATTTCCCAAGTACATGCACCTAATGAAAATAGCGCATTCTTTAATTTCATAGCCCTGTTAATTATATTGTCAACGTGTGGTCCAAAATCAATTTTATTTCTTTGTCTGTGGTTCCGAGAAATAACTCCCAAAATCTTTATAGTTTCTGATGGCTGAATATTTATACTGTCAAAGTTTAATGGTAATTTTTGGTAATTGTGTAGGTAGAGTATACCTGTTTTATTAGGACTTATTGATAGTTTTACCTTCTCACACCAATTTTTAATATTATTCAGACTTTTAATAATTTTGAACTGAAGATCCTGGATGCTAGAGCCCCAAACCACAAATGAAACTTCTTCGGCAAAATCTATGACTTTTGCGAAATTTACACTAAAAGATAAAATGAAATCATTTGATAATTTATTCCAAAGAATTCCACCTTAAAGGCATCCCTTATTTACCATTTTTTTACATTTTGAGTTTAAGTATATTAGCTCTACCTTTCTATCTTCGAGATATGAAATAACTATTTTAATAGGTGGCGCTGGAAAGTTTGCTTTGTCCAATGGTTGGATGATTGCCGGATGCCAAGCGTTGTCGAATGCTCCGCTGATTTCCACAGCAACCAAGGCCGTAACATCTGTTTCCTTTCTTTGAAGACTTATTTTATTTATTTCGTGTAGGGCGGAAATTGTAGACTTTGCTTGTATGAAGCCGTGCTGATCAGGATGCATAACATTATTAGCATTGATATGATTTTAGAGTCCGATGTGAATTGATCCCTCAAATATTTTGCCAAGATTAGATGACAGACATATAGGTCGGTAGGCCTTCAGTTCATTATCTGTTATTTTTTACCGCGCGCGACGCTCTTTGGGAGGGTGGTAAAGGATAGTGGCAGATTAGAATGTGCTGTAGCATTTGCCGCCTGATCCGCCAGTTCATTTCCTGGAATACCGCTGTGGCCTTTGATCCAGTAGAGTTGCACATTTGGTGAAAAAATGCAGGTTGTAGATTTTTTCAGCAATTAGGTGTGTTCTTGGGGGCCAAGACCTACATATGGCTGATAGAGCTGATTGGCAGTCTGAGGCAATGATGAAGTGTTCTTTTGGGAAATGCATGGTTATTTTTGTTGCGTAGAGAATGGCAAGCAGTTCAGCTTGGAACGCTGAGCACTCCTGGTGGAGTTTAAGTTGTATGGTTTGTAGAGGAGGTGGTAGGATGACTCCAGCCCCAACTCCTTCTGATGATTGGGATCCGTCTGTGTAAATGGTGGTGACATTTAGTTGTAGTGATTTGGTAAAATAGATTATCTTCCGTAATGGGGGATAGGGTAAAAAGGAAGGACTTGGGCGTGATTCGTAGTGGCCCGTTTTCAAAGTTTTTAAATATTCTATGTGAGCCTTTATAGAGATATCGAGTGGGGGACAACCCGTCAATGAGATAGCTGGTATTGTCGGTGTGCATGGACCACCTTTTCTCACATCAAAGAGAGCAGTGAAGTTACACAGTGTACCAAAATACAAATGGTGATTCTATAATACATATATTCTGTTTATAATACACATATTCTGTTTAATAAAATAAATAAATATAAATTTGAATTTAAAATATATGAAAAATAATATTACAAATTAAAATAGGTTCATTAGCCATGATGCAACACTATAAAACCCTTATATTCCATTTACATATCTTTCATCAAAGTGTTATTCCATGTTACACAGTTCTTCAGTAACGGCTACAGAAGCTTCGATGTGATTTAGCCTGGAAGCTTTCAGGCCAATCTATACGTTGTATATCTTCACTTGCCCAGACTTCTACGTGGTCAGGCACTCAAAAGTCAGAAAATTTCTCCATTGCCACCAGGTTTTAACAATTGAACCATATTTCTTAAATGCCCTGTAGGAATATATTAACCATTTATTACAAGATTTGTGGACAGACGGACACGAAAGCAAGTATAAGATAATAACACGCCATCTATATATAATATATTTTTATAAAAATTGTAAGTAGATTTTTAAAAATTCACTAGTATATTAGAAGTTAACATCTTTATTTGAAACATTAAAATATTTAAAACATTCGTTTTTCAATTCTTCTTCGGCTTTAGGTTCTCCGAGGTCTTTTTGAATGGGGAGCTTGTAAGTCGTTGTCTCTTCTTCTCTTCTCCGGACGTCCCAGCCGTTCTTTAATGTTTGGTTCATCTGGAACGCAGATCACCATCGGTTGTCCATCCAGAGTTTCTCCATTGTAGCGTCTCATAGCCTGGAGTCCGGCGTCTCTACTTGCGAACACTACATCTGCCATGCCGAGGGATCTTCCAGATTCATTGTAGTGGATGGAATGGTGAGGATCGTACCGTAGACGGAGAACAGCTCGTAGATGTCTTGGGGGGTGACATTGACGTGGAGGTTGGTGATGATCAACTTTATGGAATTTTCAGTACTCTGATTACTTTGATGAGATCGGAAATTCTCCATAATATTTTGAGATACTGAGACCCTATTAGCTTCGACACCGGTATTGTGCTGA